TATCATCTTTTCCTGCAGGGTCGAAAAATATTGCACAGCAAAATCCAAATACGTTTTTAATTTTCTGAAACATAAATTTGAATTTTATTGATCAAGATCATGATATGCCTTAAACCTTTTCCAGATGCACAGGTTTGTCTGTACTCAGAGTAACTTTTGAGGTGTAAACACAGCCATTTATTTTTGGAATAAAAAAAAACAGGCTTATAGTATGGTGATGTCGGGCTGCTGGGCGGATTGGCGGGCGGACGTGGAAACGTGGGTACCTAATTTGTGTGTTCAACTCCTCCTACATTTTTCATCCAATATCCCCGAAAAGATTTCACATATGATGTAGTTATGCACCTGCTATTATGTTTATGTTTGAAGATTTTTTCTCATTTTTCCAGACTTAGGAACTTTGTTCTTTTTTCAGCAAAATTTATGAAAGAGGGTACACAATGTACAAGTTTTGTGTAATCGATGTTCAACCCAGATCCTTGAAACTTCACAGGAAGATTGCACATATGTTGAAGTTATTCCCGTGCCGTTATAGATTTGTTTAAGGAATTTTTCCTTTTTTTCCAAACTGTTGAACTTTCTTTTCTGTCAGGAGACAGGAAACAGGTATATTATATATATTTTTGCCTATTTTGAAATTCCATTTACCTAAAATTTTCAATTACAAACACGTGTTGCAGGATCTCAATAATGACGACTTCAAGTCTAAAACATTCTGATTGCACCAGTGCTAGTTCCCCATTCATAAATAACCCGGCTGGCCACGTTATTACTGGTGACCTAAACGTTGTCAATAACACTTCTCTGCGAAATGTGTTATCTAAAGGCCCGAAATATCGTGAGCCTAAATTCATCAATTGGAAACACAACTTTAAAATACTGATGGATTCAGTCGAGGATTATCGGCCAGGCAATGGGTTAAACGCGAGAAAGAAGACATAAATACTCTTTCCGAATGAATTAAGGCCTTGAGGTCGTTGATACAAATCAGAAATAAAAAACATAATGGGCCTATGAATACCCATGCTACATCAATATTTGAAGACCCAAATGTTGCAAAACACCTGTTCTATCTCCATGAACAATATGTTGTTGTCCCCGTAGATAAAGCCCCAAACAACATTGTGTTAGTGTGTAAATCACATTACTAGAACATAAACTGCTTGATAAATTAATTAGGTATTGACAATTCACGTGGAAACTCAACATATACCCCACGACATTTACCAAGGAGGAAATCCTGGATAATTATAGGTCTGTTCTATGTTCCTTTGGAATTTCAACCAAAGATGAAAAACTGGATCTTCCTTCACTGTATTGGATACCTAAACTACACAATTGTCCTTACAAACAACGTTACATTGCTGGGTTTCCCGAGTGCTCTACGAAACCTCTTTCTAAATTATTAACATCAATTTTATCAGCAATCAAATCCGGCCTTCAAAGTTACTGTGAAACTACCTATTCAAGTAGCGTGAATCAGTGATACTAAAAAAATTCAAAGATCTTTTAGAGTACATACAATCTAAGACTCTTTCATCTTGCAATAGTATTTGAATATTCTACACTTTACACAAATATTCCCCATTCCAAACTAAAAGACAAATTGAAAGAGTTGGTCCTGCTTTGTTTCATAAAAAAGGATAGCCGACGTAGATACAAGTATCTTGTCTTAGGGAGGGATAAATCGTACTTTGTAAATCACTCTGATTTAAACAAAACATTCTATGAAACTGACATTGTCAAGATGCTTGATTTCTTAAATGAACACATATTTGTTACGTTTGGAGGACGTCTTTTTCAACAAACAATCGGCATTCCAATGGGAACTAACTGTGCTCCTCTTCTTGCCGAATTGTTCCTTTATTCATATGAGGCTGACTTCATACAGGAACTTCTTAGGAACAAAGAAAAGAAGCTAGCAGTATCCTTTAACTTCACTTCCCACTATATACATGATATTCTCTCACTAAATAATTAAACGTTTGGTGACTATGTTGAACGCATCTATCCCATCGAACTTGAGATAAAGGATACAACAGATACAGTTAAGTCTGCCTCATATCTCTTGACTTACATCTAGAAATTCACAATGAGGGTTTGTTGAAAACAAAACTTTACGACAAAAGAGATGATTTCAGCTTCCCAATTGTGAACTTTCCATTTCTATGTAGCAAAATTCCAGCAACAGGATTGCTGCTTACAAGGAAGCTATTAAACCAAGAGTTCAAAGTATAGTGATGTTGAAATCATCCCTTCGTAAATTTTATGGACGCCATCACGAGTTGGTTGACCGTTATGGAATATCCGTTTCACAGATGACAATGGATATGTTCCAATTGTCGTAACAACAATCCCGTTCCCTTTTTCCCGAATATGAGCTACCGAATTAGAATTATCACTGGGTTTGTACTAACATAAGCAACACGACAGGTGCCATATGTGGAGCAGGATCTGCTTAACCTTCCGGAGCACCTGAGATCATCCCCAGTTTTTGGTGGGATTCGTGTTGCTCAGTCTTTAGTTTTCTATGTTGTGTTTTATGTACTGTTGTTTGTCTTTTCTTTTTTTGCTATGGCGTTGTCAGTTTATTTTCGACATATGAGTTTGATTGTCCCTTTGGTATATTCTCCTCTCTTTTATCGAAACAAAAGGGTTCGGTAACTTGGCTTCCGGAGTCAGGAACCTCGTCAGTAGCTTTTTTTTTTGTCATAATTATCTTACGGTTTTTGTCCAATGAGGAATATGGAGTTGGTGGCAGACTTTTGGCAGTCACTTGTCTAGATAGACTCCGAACGATTTAGATTTTTTTTACCTTGACACTGATCTATAGCAGAAAAAAAATGTTAACTTCCGGAATGCCGGTTGCTGCATCATGACCATAACACATTTTCCTTTTAGTCAACAATCGTAACGATACAATGCAATTCATGTCGCATATGCATGCATCATAAAATTGGATACATGGTACCAAGCTAAAAAAAAATGCCCAATTGGTCTATTATTTACTTTATTCTTTTTTTAAGTCCTGTTTTTTTTTGTACCACAATTACTGAATTAAGGCAAAAATGCGATATTTTTAATTTGTTATTTTTTTTTTATCTTAAAAATCGTTTTTGTTTTCCCAAAATTTCTAAAAATCGATATCAAAACTAAATTTTCATCTGCAACACTAAGTGCCGGTTTTTGGTCATCTTTTCCCGCAAAATGAGTTTTTTGTGAGGGGTTTGGGGCCAGTAAACATGTTTTACCCCGGCACATTCTGTATATTAGTCCTGTCCTGAGTTAGGAGCCTGTAGTTCAGTGGTTGTCGTTTGTTGTTGTATATAATATATAATATTTGTTTTTCGTTTATTGTTTCTACATAAATCAGGCCGTTTGTTTTCTTGTTGGAATTATTTTACATTTGTCATTTCGGTCTCTGGTTGAGAGTTGTCTCATTGGCAATCATACCACATCTTCTTGTTTTATATTGACCCCTGTGTTCAATAACACGGTGTTTTTTCTCACTTTCCAACTTGGTCAGATATTAAAAAAATTATGTGCATTTGCACAATATTTTTTTTCATCGGATGATTTAACAGTTTTTTTTTCTATTTAATTAAAAAAAAATAGACTGATAGATTTAAACATTTTTCTGGTATTTCAATGAGACAGTAACCTTACGACAAAATACCCCAAAAACATACAGTTTTTTTTTACAAAAGGCAGGTAAATTGAAGCTATTTAGAGCTTGAAATATTTGATAGATACCAAAGAAAATTACAGCTGCTAATTTTTGATAGCCTCTGATGAATTCCTTTCACTATTTTTTTTTTGACTTCTGGAATTTAGAGCTTTACATAGTATATCGACATTTCTTTGTTGTTGATGATGATATACATGTATTGGTGTTGCAACTGTTCCATGCATATCAGGCCAAAACACAAGTTAATGCGATATATGAATATTACTAGATGGACACATTGATCCGGATTTTGAACGTGCTAGTTCACAAGGTAACATTTCGAAGAAAGACATGTCCCCCTACCCGGATATACTTTTCTGATTCAAAGCCGATCAGCCTTTGTTGTTCTTAATACTAAATGTGACGTGCTATAAGTGTAGAAGCAGCAAATTAATATTTTTAAGCCTTTGGTTTGACTGCCACAAAGTAAGATGTGTTCCAAGTAAATATCACTTTACCATAAAAAGTGTATCATGTTGGGAATATAAAATTGAGAATGGGAACGGGAAATGCGTCAAAGAGAAAACAACCCGAACAAAGAGCAGAAAACAGCCCAAGGCCACCAATGGGTCTTCAACACAGTGAGAAAATCCCGCTACCGGAGGCGGGCTTCAGCTTGCCCCTAAACAATAATGTATACTAGTTCAGCAAAAATGGACGTCACACTAAACTCCGAAACATATAAATGAACCAAAATAAAAATAAACATACAAGACTAACAAAGGCCAGAGGTTCCTGACTTGGGACAGGCGCAAAAATGCGGCGGGATTAAACATGTTTTGTGTGATCTAAACTTTCCACAAGCCTCTAGCCAATGTGGAATAAACAAACACACAGCAATACGCACAGTATAATTCAGTTTAAAAGAAGTCCGAGTCCGATGCTAGAATAGGTAGCAGAAGAAACTAAGCAAAATCACAATAATCAACATTAATTAACAAAGGGCTACTATCAGTTACTGCCATGCCAGCTCCAGACCTCAATTAAATTGATTCAAACATTATGACTGTTTGGTTTTTTTTTATTGCCCAAAGGAAAAGCTTTTTAATTTCAAAACATTTTCAGTATGTCAGGATGAACATTTTCGACTACCAAATCTTTAGTGCTGCCAAATTTGAATGCCAAGTATTCTACTTCAAACGTTTCAATGATAAGGACCTATTATTAGGAAACGGATTAATAAGCTAACCTCTTGTTTTGTGGTTATAATAATTCACCTGACTTGTTCGTGCTTATTTGTGTATATTGTATGTTTAATCTATTATAGACCAAAAACTTTGTGGATTCGTTTATTGTTAAAAGAGTATTTGAGATTCTTATTGTTGTTTTTTTCTGCCAGAAAGCAACTCTAGACTGAAATCTCAGGTCTCAGTAGCCACCACCTGCAATGAAAAGAATAACATTTATAATGTGCACAAATAACAAAAACATAACATTCCCAACTAAAACGGCTCAAAATCAATTTACCATATAGATATTTGAATCTTAAAACTCAACTTGAATGTGTAATGTTTATAGGACATGTTTACAGTGTTTGTACAAAAAAGGAAATTAAACAATACACAAGTCAATTGTATACACAGCGGACAAAGTGAATATTTGTATCATGATAATGCTTTTATAATAAAAGTGCCTTTCAACAAAGGGATATAAAAGTTAAGAGTATTAATCATGGATAGATACAACCATGATTATATGACATTTTCAATTAAAAATTAAACAGTTTATGTTACCTATTTTCCCTTTTCCTGACACAAATCCATTTCCATATCCGATGCTGTTTCCATATCCATATCCCCCATCGTATCCACCGTGTCCATATCCTCCATATCCTTTTCCGTATCCACCATGACCACCATATCCTCCATATCCGTATCCACCATAACCGCCATATTGTTTTCCGTAACCACCATATCCGCCGTGACCACCATATCCTTTTCCGTATCCATCATTTATCACTCCCCCGTATCCATATCCTTTGCCGTATCCGTCATATCCATCGTAAATGATTTTACTGTAACCTCCGTGACCCCCAAATCCTGGTCCATATCCATTATAACCTTTGTCATAGAAAGCGCATGCCATTGCGACACATACACTCAACAGGATAAGTTTCAACATACTGGATTTCTGAAAATCATAAATGAATTAAAATATATGATAATTAAAAAATGCTGTCTAAAAAGAGTTTCAATCCACTTCGTACGTCCAAAAACTTTCATTTTTCTACGTGCAATGTTATTCTGATTAATATAAAAACAAGGAGATGTGGTTTGATTGCCAATTCATTAGACAACTATCCACCACAGTTCAAATGACGTGGATATAAGCAATTATAGGTCACTGTCATTTAATAATGAGAAAACCCATACCGTATAGTCAGCAACATTTTACCAACAAAAACAATGAAAAAATAAGCAGAAACCCCATAAAAAGACAATATCAGCAATTTAATCATTATATCAAGCTTGAGTATAGAACAGTATTTAACCTACGTTATTATCAAATCATCGTCTGGCGTATAGTCTACTGGAATTATCTAGTTAACTATTTTAAAAAATGACCGTAAATTCACAATTTGATTTGGTATTTATCATTGGTAATCTTCGACAACTGATGATGATGCATGATCAATAGATGTGGTTCATGGACAAGTTTTTAAAGAGAATATTACATCAATAATAAAATCTTATTCATCCTGTCACATTCTCCGTGTTTGTAAATAAACATTGCATCAACTTTTGAATTAACAGTAATCTCTTATTATATATATACAAACAATATATGTACATAATTTTGTATGAACTTTAGAAACGGGAAGACAAGCGAGAATGGCAGAGTTTTTCTCCTGTTTCGAAGCGAGAACAAATAATTTCCAACAGTTAACGTTGCAATTGATTTTTATTTTATGGATATCGGAATTCGACGGACCGCGAAGAAGACCCCAAAATGATCTGCGAAGTTGACAAGAATCTTTGTGATAAAAACAAAAGTCATCGAATGTCATAATGTTGAAGAAGAAAAATACTGTATTGGTTTAACCAGAGATATTACTGTTTTAACGTAGAACAAAATGTATTTTGGGATGATGAATAAGTATAATTTTGGTGCTTTCCAGGACGATACGATATTCAACCACATGAAAAGAAAACTAGCGAACTATTTTAATCACCAAAGCGAAATAATGTGAAGAACAATGACTTTGTCAACTTAATGATACATGTACTTACTTGATGTCAGGTCAATAATACTGATATCCAATCTGGAGGTACAGTCACTATATATACACAAAATTTTAGTGGTCATTAAAAAAAGTCATCTATCAAAATATCCTTATGTACATGTATTTTATTACTTAGATGATTGAACCACAAAGATTTTAATCTATCTATTACATTATTTTATGTCGATAAATAGATAATAAAGTATTATGGATTAACTAAAAATTGCAAATTCTGATATTATATATAAAAAAGGGTCATTTTAGATAACAATTCGTCACTTGATCAAAACAAAAGTATTGACATACATGTACATAATCAATAAATATAATAGCTGTTGTGACATCTCTGATTTATGAACAACGAAAACCATAAATGATAATTATTATATTTTTATTTAATAATACTATTGGATTATGTTGTTTAATTCAGTTACCTATCGTGTCTGAATAAGTACTGAAGTATTTCTAAACGTTATTTTATAAATCGTGAATATCCTTTCAAAAACTACTTTTATTCAAAATTTTTATATTGCTGGAAGTTCAAATATTATTTTGTACTTTTCCGAAGATGAAAACACTTTTTCCTAGTGCAGAGAATGCAAATTCTTTAAAATTCTTAAACACTTTAGGGAATAATCCTATATGTATATTATTTATGGTATTAAATTCAAAAAGTGAATAGAAAATGTCTACGCCAAAAACTACATTTTTAGCTCTAAAACTGTTCTTTTTACTTTTCTGCAGGAAACAATTATATCAAATAAACGCATGACACCGATGTCATGCGCACAGCATATGTTTATTTGGAATAACCTTCATCGTGTATTCTCAAGGGTAAAAGTTCGGTAAGATAAAAAGTATCTGGAACGTTTATTATAGAAATTATGACGAAACCTAAAAATCAAATCATGTAAAAAGTTACCCTGGCATTTATAAATACACAATGGAATCTTTAAATGTCAAAAAGGGAACTACTTTTACAAATTCTTGATATGTTTTATTAATATTAATTCAAGTTCGGGTCGAGTTGTTAATATTGATTATTTTGTGTACACGACAACTTTTTAATGACAATCAAATGCTTCGAAGAACACATTTTGAATATAAGTGTATCTGCCATTGAAAAATACAGAGATCAATATCAGATAAAAAAGATTTAACACATATAGAATGGCTTGATGTGTATTACTGTATAAACAAACCAAATTTATACTATAAACTTTTGTTCATATTTAATTCAAAATTCTTCTTGCATGTGTAAACCTTTATATGTAACGAAGTAACTAAACGGAAGAAAATCATACAGATAATAAGACTTTTTGTTTTATTCCATTGATTGCAAGCAGCACAAATTCTTTGGGAAGGAGTAGTTCTTATTCAATTTCATAAATCATGAAATGACTTCAGGAAATTGCTATATCCATATTCATATCCGAATTTCCGACAGAAAAAAATATTTCCATTTTCCGAATGATAGAAGTGTAAATAACATATTCCGATACATGAATCGCACATAATCCTATTCAAGGTAAGCTATTCATTACTTGATCAAAGCAAAAATATCAAAAGTGGTCAATATATGATATTATACCAATTGCCATATTATAATTTATCGTTGATTGATGTACATATACATGATTAATAATAATCATTAGATTTTTGGGTTTTTTTTTTTTGTTAAAAATACTGCCGAATTAATAGCACGTCTAATTAATTATAAAAATTAGGAGATGACCATGTGGTATGATTGCAAATGAGACAATTGTCCAAACAACGTGGATGTAAGCATCCATATGCATAAGTCATCGTATGGCCTTCAACAATGAGCAAACCCATACCGTATAGTCATCTACGAAAAGCCCAATCACGACAAAATGTGAAATAATTATAACGAAAAAACCAAGCCTGATTTATGAGAAAACAATAAACGAAAACAAATATGGCAGACAGCAACGAACGACAAGCACTGAATTACAGGCTCCTGGCTTGGGACAGACATATAAAGAAAATTGTGGGATGAAACATGTCTATAAGCACTCAACCCTCCCCTAACCTGAGCCAGTTGTATAACACACACCATACGAATGAATTGTAAAAATCAGTCGGAAATGGTTGACTCACTGAAAGCTTCGGTTGGGATCAGTTCTTTAGAACTGTCAGACTAATCTCTCTTAGATCTGTTCTTGTGAAACCGAAAATCATCACAACAAGGAAACGTAAACAAACGATGCTACAATGTGTTATATAAGCCATTTTTTGTATACATATAAGACATATAAGTACAATTATCATTTAGATTCATCCAAACCTATCTAAATATGTTATTGTTAATAGTTAAAGCATGTCATTTATTCAGTTTGCTCCGGTCTTTTACGTCAATTTAATATTGCGTTTATTTATGGGAACGGCAAATAAAGCCTTCATCTAGAGCGCTTCGATCCAAAACAATTGCCGTATTTGTCATATTAGAATCGAAATATCGCTCAGGGTAAAATATTTGTCATAAAGGGCCAACCCGTGGTAAAATCACGATATATTCAAGCCCCCATGAATTATTTCTTAATTAACAAAAATGCTAGTAATATTTTCTTTTTAAAAAGACAAGTATACAGCACTCTAGGGATGTTAATTACAGATTATATACAGCACTCTAGGCATGTTAATTACAGATTATATACAGCACTCTAGGGATGTTAATTACAGATTATATACAGCACTCTAGGGATATTAATTACAGATTATATACAGCACTCTAGGGATATTAATTACAGATTATGTACCGAGTTTTCCTGACATAATACATTCTTATGTAATAATACAAATGTGATCTGGGAATATATCATGTCCCGGCTGGGACTATTATACCAGATGTATAATAATTGTTCTAAGGCCCCGGCTCGGGACGTTTGCGCTGTTTTAAACGGACGCTTTTAGTCGCTGATATCAATCGAAAGCCAGAATATTTGTTTGAAAAAATATAAAAAAAATTGAAATTAAAAAAAAAAATAAAGAAAGAAATAAATAAAGAAATAAAGAAATAAAGAAAAGGGTGAATTGGATATTATACACACTGTAAGGTGGAACAAAGGAGCATCACCGTCCAAAATATCTAACTAATAATAATAGGGAACGCAAAATCGTCTCTTTAGTGGTAAATTTTTTTGTGTAGAACTGAAATATCTAAATTAGAAAATGACAATTATTGCTGTTTATATTATCAAATTAAAATAAGTTCCCTTGGGTAAATGTCCTCAAATAATTAGAGAATTCTATATTATTTTAAGCAACATAATGTAACATTATGTTATTAAATTTATCAATTGAATGAAACTTAGTCCGACATTTACTGAGTTCAGCCATCAAATGTTATTCAGATGTCTTTTTTTGTATGTTCTGGTAGTAAATCTAATAAGTTGTCGTTTTAAACTTTGTTGAGGTCTGTTGGTTGCATTTTTATAGTTTTGTTATTATCAACCTTGTCGGACCTAAAACAATTGACAAGAGTTATGTTTCTTAGTTCTGTTAGCGGAATGAGGATATTAGATTGTCAGTTCCGGTATTTGTCGGATCACACTCATTTGAAATTAAGTTATGATATTATCCTGCGTACAGACAGCGTCTCAACCTATTGTTACACTATGCTTTGTTTGATGTTTATTTGTTACCATCTTCATAATTTTCTATATTATTTTCTATGAAGATATCGTTGTTTAAAAGGGGAGAAGATACCAATTGGACAATAAAAAACCAAAAGGCGAAGAAAAGTAGACAACAAACACCCTCGCCCAAAGAAAAGCAACGGAAAGGCAAGCAAGAATTCACAAACAATACACAGTATTGGAGAAATGCATCTGCATACAAACTAATCAATTTGTAATCTATTACAAATATTATAGAATTACACAATTTGAGAATAATTTTCGAAATCAACAGAAAAAAATAGAATTTAATTGCATGCATATAGTAAATGTGTTTTACACATTTTGTGTTCATTGCAGTATATAATTCTCCGCTTGTATTTTGTATTTTGTATTATATATTTTGTATTAGAGGTATTCCCGTGACAGTGTGGACAACGGTAGTACTTTTGTTGTTAATAATACTGAATCATTTAGGGAGCTACCATTTGATTTTTATGGGGGGGGGGGGGGGGGGGGGGGGGGGGGGGGGGGGGGGCTAGGATGAAAAATTTTGTCCAGCATTTTTTTTTAGTTGTAATCTCTGTCCTGCCTTTTTATTTTTCACTCTATTCGGTCCTGCCTTTTTTTTTATTAGTTTATCCTGACTTTTTTTACATAAATTGTCATCCTGCCTTTTTTTTGCCAAGTTGCTCATCCTGCCTTTTTTTTTTACTCAAAAACTCCTGTCCTGCCTTTTTTTCAAATTTCATCCTAGCCCCCCATAAAAATCAAATGGTAGCTCCCTTACCTTTAACTTGTTTGTCATAGGCTATCGATAACAATAGTTTACGCTCACGCAGTCTGTCAGAGGCCTTCCAGTGGGGATTTGAATAATCTCTTGTTACACATTTCGATACGTTTAACGTTGTGTATGATGTTCCTACAACACGACGTTACACCAAAAATGGGACGTCAAAGAGTGTTTTCTGAAATTTTGACGTCGATTAATTAAATTTGTTCGTTTCATTCGTTTTTTTATATGTTATGGGTTGATTCTGTCTCTGTTATTTTTGTGATGTATTTTTACCATGAATTACCTCAAGTTGTAGAAATCGATTAACAATGTTTACCCTTAATTCCCTTAAAATGCTGTATTGTTGTAAATAATGTAAGAAGGCAAAATGGAACGGAATTATTAAATATACAGTTTTCCATAAATAAATTAAAACATAATTTTAGAAGCACAAAACTTTAATCACAAGCTGCTAAAATTTTATGGTGCATATCATATGTCATTGTAAATTTTCCATATCTTGATTCAACCCCAATACAAATATATCCGACACTCTAGATCTGCAAGTAAATCATTTTTTTTTTTACCCTTGATTAATTTGAAATGAATTGTACTTTCCTTGACACACAATTTGTCGAAATACAG